AATTGAAAGAACTGCACCAAGATTTCAATAGGCTGCAAAGGGTGTGGGGTTTGAGGGTTTTTTTAAGATGAAAGGGGTTTTTTTGAATTAACAGAAAGTCAGTGTTCAGAATGGTGAGTAGACCCACCCTGACTTTTTTATGAGAATATAATACAGCCAATATAGCAATTACTGTACTTGATATGAAATCATAACCAATAGCTTATGAGTAACAGGCCTTAAATTCTCTTACAAGTTTTATATATTTCATGATGTTCAGGAGTATATACTAACAAAAGGAAACCATGTTTCTGTGTACCTATTGTTCTAAGCAAAACTTTATGACAACGTAATTGTTTTCTTTAAGCCAGGTTCTGCAGGAGTGCCTGCAAATGGTTTTGTTCGTGTTGGTACTCCTTATCCTTCACCTTGGAGAAAGTATTTGTTTGTTTCCAGTTGGTAGTGAGAATCGGAGATGATGATATCTAAATAATTTGAATAATGTTAATGGAGAACTCCAAGGAAAGGAGTGAATGGTCTATGAAATTTTCGTATCGTTCTTTTCTTGTATTGCCCTTCCCTACAGCTTGTGTGGTCTATGGGTTTGTTATCCATGGTCTCTTCCTTGCAGAAGTATTTACAGAAACAAGAATCTTCCTATGAGAGATTATTAAAAATCATTGTATATATTGTAGAGGTTGGTCAGTCCACGTGCCGTGAGGAAAACAGCGGCCGGACATGGAAGCCCGTGTTCAGACAGACTGATACAGATCCCAGGGCCGTGTGTCAGCTGCTCCTGGTACCTGCCTACCTCTGGAGGCCAATAGATGGTTAACGGGAAAAGTAGGGATGTGAACTCACGTTATCCAAGCCCTGACCTTGCGTCTCCCTTCTGTAAAAAGAGGTTTGTTTCCTAGAGAATGGCTTCCTTCTGTTTAGGACTGTTTAGGATTAAATGTATTAAGGATTTGATATGTTCAGAGGCATAGGGATTGGGGCTGTATAAAATATCTCAGGTAGACAAGAAGAGCAAAGCATGTCATGGAAAGTATCTATACAGAATTTCTGCTCCAGGCTTCTTGCTCAGACTTCAGCTCATTCTTGGTTAGTGTCGTGTAACTTGGGTGAGAATATTTTTGTTGAGATTAATTTGGCTCTCCAGGAAGACTGGGTATGTTTTTATACTTCTTTTTTCCCTGAATTTGAATTGATTGGATGGAATTGCTCCCTGGATATACTGTAGTTTAAAACAGCCGTTTTTTATTAGGCCTGCATGTGGGCATTTTAGGCATGAACTGCAGTGTTTCCATAGATTTTTAAGGTCTTCCATAGCATCGTTAGCAGCTTCTAGTGCTTTGATCTGATTCGCATAGTTAGCAGCTTCTAGTGCTTTGATCTGATTTCGTAAGACAGAAGTGCTCCCTGTATTTGTGTTACAGCGAACACTGTATTTTTTGGTGGTGTCTGACTTTGAGAAACACACAGATGCTTTTTTGTAGTCCAGGAGACAAAGAAACAAAGCTTTGTGCTTGGGAGGCAGGATCCGTGCCTGCAGGGTACATCAAGGCACTTGGTGTGCAGCTGCTTTCCCAACCTCCACTTGCTCCTGGTGAGCAGGAGCTGGGTCACCGTTCGCTGCTGCTGTGGATAGAAATCTTCCACAAGGGCTGCCCTTCTCCTTGGGAGGGGTTTTCACGTCTCCTTGCTGCCTGTGAGCAGGAGCACTTGGTTCCCCTGCACATCAGCGCCCAGAGGCAGGTCGTCTTTTGGCTTGCTCTTCTCCAGATACACCGAAGGGTGTGTGACAAGGAGCGTGGCTGAAATGCAGGACTGCTTGTGGGCCTGCTTGGGCTTGCTTATTCTTGAAATTTGATTATCTGTGTTTGTTTTTAAGTGGATGTGCCTTCATAACAAAAACAGAAGAATTGCTGTGTTTTCCAAATGTGCAAAATAACTTCAGTAGGAGGCTCGAGGAGGAAGGGATCTGGAAGTGGCTGTCTGTCACGTTGTGTTAATAGAATTGATGCTGCAAAACTGGTACTTGGGAATCGGGAAAAGGTACTGCTCTGGTAAGGGTTCTCACAGCCTGCTGCAGACCCACAGCTCTGTCCCTGCGCTGTGTGGATGAGTATCTGCAGTGCTAGCAGCACGGCCTCTCCAGCCCCGCGTTACTTATCCCAGCTCTTAACCAGGTCTCCTTTCTACTGCAAATGCAAACACAGATCTTGCTAGTAAAACAGAAGCTGTTGAAATTATTTTGGCTGCTGAAGTGGGCTCGTGCCATCCCATGCGCAGCAGTAGTTGTTGTACTGTTTTGGTTTCACTGTCATCTCTAATAGACAGAGGAAAGCTTTGCTGTGGTCTCTTGCCCTACTGCAATTCGATCTGTCCTTTCTTTTCCTCTTTACTGGCTGCTCGCTGAGCAATAAAATGAGATGTAAAGGTTGCTGTCTGTTTCTCAGTCAGCTGCTTCGAGGTTAGTGTTAAAACACTGTTTCCTAATTTTTGCATGTTAAACACTTAAAAACTTGTTTATAAACAGTAGCAAAAGTACATGTGTATGTTTTTTATCATTTCTAAGAGGTGGCCTCGTTACTGCTCTGCCAGGTCAGCCAGTTAATTTATTAGGAACTCGGCACAAAACTATTACACAATTCTGCTGCTGTCGAGCCTCATACACGCTTTTCAGTAAACTCCTGGGGAAGGCAGGGTGGCGGGTGCTTCTTTTTTTAAAGTAGGATCTTTAGAGCAGCAACTTAAAATTTTTACGTTGGCTTCCACTGTATTAATGAGATTATGAAGTGGTGAAGAACGGCATAGAGACCATAGGGGAAAGCAGGGATGAAATGAACGGTGTGAGAAAATTGTGATCCCACTCTTGGAAGTTGTTCCTGTGATTAAAAAAATACTGAGTCCTTTTTTCTTTGTTTCTTGTGTTTCAACAGGGCAGAGTTTAGGGTATGGATTCGTTAACTATATTGATCCAAAGGATGCAGAGAAAGCCATTAACACTTTAAATGGACTCAGACTCCAGACCAAAACCATAAAGGTAAGAAAATATAAAACACCTTTTGCTCAGTTCAGGAAGCGGAGAAAGTAGTTGAAATGGTTTCTGGCGATTTCATCACTATTTTAATCTCCATTGTAAGGGGCGCTCAGCTAACGAGCTCTTCCTTGGAACAATGGGAGGACGTGCAGAAGATCAAATATCTCTTCTCTGAAATTGCTGCTGTGGTATGGGGGGGGAAAGTAACAGGAAGCTCCTTAAAGCATTGCAGTGAGGCTTAAATGTAGAATAAAACAGCCGTAGTGATACAGTTATCCATGAACAGAGGTGAAGTACATGACGGTGTGTATTCATAAGTTACAGATTTTTTTGTGTTTTAATGGGAAATACCTTGACATGGAGCTCTCTTTTAGTGACACTCAAGTCATTATCAAGTGTTGAAGGTATGTTTCTCTCAAGTTAGAATATGTCATTCTCAAAAAAAAAAAAACACTAAACATTTTTTCTCAATTTCCCCATGCTTAGTTTGATTTATTCTTTTAAAAGCTGGAGGGATTAGAGATCCCGCTGAAGTCTCTCATTTCATTGTTGTAATAGACCATTAGTTATTCAACGACCTTCTTTAGTGGTCTCACAAGAAAAGCAAGTTTCTACACTGTCACGTTTTTTGGTGCATGGCTGCTAAAGCTTTTTTGAAACTGCTTACAGAAGATTTCACATCCCGTATTCTGACAAATAATACAGCTTAAGGAATGTGAATCAAAAAATTGAAGGGGAACAAACAGCAGGTCTGATTCAAATTATCTGAAACTACTTTGATATTTGAATGGTGGCTTTTGATTTGTACCATTTTCCTAATTTTTCTTCTGTGCTTAATTTGTATTTCAGAGCCAAAAATGTTAAAGAATATAAAAATAGAGTTTTTACTTCTGAAAATATTGGTATGAATAATGTCAGTGATTTCGTATCTTCCAAAAAAGATACCGTATGGTCAATACTTAAGTTGTACTTACGTTTTCTCACTAAAGGTTTTGGTTTGGACAAAATGGTATTCCCTAAAGCAAAAATATTTGTTGGATTCCTGTGCATCTCTTAAGGATTGTTTCAAGCAAGCTTTTCCCTGGTCTGTTTGATTAGTGAAGAGCAGAAGTCCTGAGCTGAGGGTTATGAAAGTGGTGGAGTAGCTTGCATGGATTCTATAGAGAAAGCTGCTTCGAAACCTCCTTTAAACCAACCAGGTTCCATCCCATAGATATGTGTGTGGGCCATATATCAAAATGCTCACAGCATGGTTTTGTAGAGTTAAATAGAAAAACTTACAGGAATATGTAAGGCAAAGCAGCAAATCTGCCGTCTTATCTACTGCTGCAGGTGGAAGTACATGCTCGGACTCAGCAGTTCCCGCTTACAGTGAAAAGTTGAGCAGTAAGTTGCTCTCCAAATTGCTTTTAAAAGCACGTTATCAGGAAAAATATAAAATTTTGAAAGTACTAACCTATCGTCTAACTACTTTATTAAAAACTCAGTAGAACTTGAAAAATCTAGATCAGTTTTTAATCAGCACTTTTATGTTGTGAACATTATTCAGCGCTAGCAAAGGTGCTACATTTCTTGTCCTAAGTACCTATGTTGCTTTGCCTCTGGTTTTTTTTTTATTTTTGTGAGCTAGAGCAATGCTGCTGTATTCATGATATTCCAAGGTTACAAGAAACATAAGCTACAAAAAGGCCTCCAAAAACTCCAACCCACCCCAATTATTATTTTACATTTCTCTCATATGCAAAATTAAACTATTATGCCTTCCTTTTTATCGCCTATGGCAAGATTTTTGATTTTTGTTATTCAGGAACTTCCCATGCTAAAACATCTTTGCAGAATGTTCTTTCTTTTTTTTTTTTTCAATTCAGTATAAATTTTATGAATATGAGTAGTTTATTAGGTTTGGGTTTTTCATGCTTATTTATAGCTAGTAGACTTTTATAGAATACATGACATTTTGTTGGGCTCTTCAAAGCTGTGAAACTTTAATAATAAGTAAAGAAGTTGACTGAACCTACATGCACAGGAGCCGCCTAATTTCTTCAGTGATTGGGAAGATATGTATAGGCTTTTTCTTAAATAAAATTGTTTTCAAGTAAGTGTTTATGCAGTTGCCTAAAACCAACCCAAGGGAGCCTTCTATTCAAGCTTTGGACACATGGACATCTAATTGGCAGTTTCCAACCCAATTTTTAATTGCAGAATCACATGTGATTACCTCACCTTACCCCCTTCGGTTTTTTTGTATTTTTAATTATGTTTTGCTCTTAGAAATCTTAATAAATTAGGTCTGCTTGCCTGGTACTGTGTGATGGGGATGGTGGTTTCCCAACGTTGACGCTAGCTGAGTGGTAACTCGTATGTTTTTACTGCTCCCGGCAGTGCCCGTGGCACCGGAGGTGTCCCTCGTTTCCAAACGGTTGCAAAGTGGCGAGAAATCGCACTCGGTGCCGCTGACGTCTCCTAGCTTGCCTGTTGCCCCCGCACGCCCCTTTCCGGCATCTCACTGTGATTTATTATAAGGTTGAAGTGTATTAATTCGTAGAATTGCTATATTTAATTATCAGAGACGATTACTTTAGTTAGATGTCCTTTACAGTTATTAAAAATGCACTTTTGGTGCATTAAAAAAGCCTGTCTCAAAGGAACATATTGAAAGGGATTTGGTGGCATATAGTTTTGGAGGCTAAAAAATATTTAATTAAATACTAGAATAACGCTGAGCTGAAAGAGTACTGAGCATTACCTTGTTCTGTTTCCTTCATGAGTGTTGTTGGGTTTTATGCCCCAGAACGAATCTGTAATGTCCTGTTGATGGATAGGCTGAACCTTGGCCTCTGCCCATGTACGCTGGGTAGCTGCAGCCCTGCAGGTAGCATTTCTCTGGCAACCTTTTGTTTGGAAGCTGTTTTGATGGAAAGTTGAAATGTATAATCTGTGAAAGCCCTTTTACAGGGGCAAATTACTTCTGCTTGCCAAGGTCACCTTGGTCCTGCTGGCTGTGTCCATCTCCCTGCTCACACAGTCGTGGGCTCTGCTGTCCCTTGCACCTAGAGTGAACATGAGTTGGCTCGGGGGGGTCATATTTGCACTCACTTTTTGACCCCTCGAGGCTTAATTCCTGTTTAAAAAAAAAAAATACATATTTTCCGCATGTGTCCCCAAATCCTGTTTTTCTCACTCTGTAACATTTTTGTGGCAGCTTAATGTTCTCTGTCTCCTGATGCCTCGCAGAACAGCCATGCAGTCACAGGAGGAACTGGTTTTATGGCAGGATCAGCAAAACAGCTAGGCACAGTCTGCCTAGATGTGCGGACTAAAATAACTGAAGAAATGTTCTTTTTATTATTTCATTGTTACAATAGTAGCAGCTGAAATATTTATGTGCATTTTATTTAAGTCAATGATGCCCTTTCAAGTCAAAGTCGAGAGGTGACTATTTACAGAATATCTGTTTGGGGAAGGCATTGGAGGAAGTGTTAGGCGTTTGGTAATAGGTTATAGACGTTATGTTCCTCCTCAGCATAGTGCATATTTTATTTACACCATTTCGTAGCAGCAGCATCTTGTGAGGGAGAAGGGCTTCACTTTATTTTTATAGCTAAAGCTTGACATAATTCTACAAAACAGCTTAGAATGAGGGAAGATACAGTGTGTGTGGAAATAAATATATATTCCAGAAATTGAATCTATTTTTAGAAATTAAATTTGCCCATCCGTAAAAGCATATGAAAGGTCACTGCTGCTGTTGAAGATTGCCTAGCAATTCAGTTGCATCAAATATCAGAAAGAAAATAAGATGTGTGATGCATGGGGTACAGATTGTTTAAACTGTGCTGCTCTGCCCTGGAAAAAAAGGACAGCGTCTGAAAGGATGCGAAGGAAGCATTTTACAATTTACATGCGGATTCAGGTGACCTGGCTTCATGTTGGGGGATGCTGGAACAAGGGCGGAACAGAGTTTTGAAGGGAAGTTAAAAATCTAAAAAAAGCCAATGACCCCCTGCAGCGTGGTCTTGTGTCCCCCCTCTCCTTCCTTGTCTCTGTCGCCTGAGAAGTAGGTTTGTTTCCTTCTTCCCTCGCAGGGGCAGGCAGCACGCTGTGACACTGCTGGAGCAAAGGGAGAAGTCTCCAGGGAGGGGAGAAGGAATCTGGGTTCTCTGAGCCCTTGGTGCCTTGCACTTTTTCAATCCATCAAATCTATCAGATGATAAAATACCAGACAGATAGGATCATTCCTCTGTGGTCAGAGGCTTTCTCTAATTATTTTAATTTTCAGTTAAGTTGAATAAATAACATGAAATATAGCGACTGCTATTTTGACACTTCCTATTGTTAGTTCAAAATGTTTATTTCTGCTTTACTCTCCTGTTGTGATCAATAGGACTGGATGGTCCTGGTTTAAAATACAGTGAATAGGGCTGTGGGAGAAAGTAATTCTGTTTTCTGGAAATAAAGTAGTAACATTACTGCTCAAAGATCTTGTTATTTATCTTGGTTTTTCTGGCATTTTTCGAAATGTCAGATATTTCTACAAGATTTAGGCTCTAAATCTGTCCATGTTAATTCTTGTAATTGCCTGCAAAACTACAAACCATCCTGTCACTGTAGGGTAACCAAATAACCTCAGACTTCTCTGTCCTACAAAGTCATTTGTCACAAAGATCGCCTTCGTGTCGTGCTCAGCAGGCGCAGGAGGCGCGGGAAGCAGAGGGCAGGGGAGGAGGAAGGCTGCGGCAGCCGGCGGTGGGGAAGAGAGCTGCATCCCCCACACCCTGTCCCAAACCGCTTGGGAGGTACGGGCTGGGGGGAGTTAAACCCGACAACTTGAGTTGCAGCCAGAAAGCGCTGGCTTGCTGCTGGTTACGGTAGCAGAGCTCTGGTATTGGGTGCCCCTGGTGCAATACTCTGCTGAAAATGCTGTGTTTTCCACTCGTATTCTCCCGTAGCCTCCCTGGGGGCTACCTGCCACCGAGCCAGCCGGCCACCACCTGCAGCTGCTT